TTTTTTTTTCATTTTTAAATTACATGGTTGTTATCTGTGAAAATCAGCAGCAGTGGAATAGCCAATAACAAAGCACTGTCGTTGGGCTCTAGAGCTAATAGCCAAATGAGATAACCAGGGAGCAAGAAGTTAAATCTGTTACTGCTCCCGCGCCTCCCTGCAGATTCGGTGAAACACCAGCCACGCTCCGCTCGTGTCAGGAAGGATGCTGCTGTCGCTGGCCACTTACAAATTCAAAGCTGTAAAAGGTCGTAATTGGGAGAGGGGGGATGTAAACTTGCACTGAAAACTAAGTCAAGCTTATAGCCTGTATCTTTTTAATGCCCTTCCTTACAAAACAGAAGACATATTTGGGGGGGGTGGGGGGGGTGGGGAGGGAATCAACAAAAAAAAGGCAAACAAAAAACCACCACCACCAAAAACCCCAAATAAAACCCTAAAAACCAGAAAAACACCCAACAAACAAGTTCACAAAGGGGGAATCCCCCAGTTTTAACTAGGGAGCTACCTAAACACAGAGACATGCTTACGTAGGATGCAAGTTCAGGGTTTGCTGTAACATAAATATAGGGGTTATTTCTATTTGGAAGTAAGTATGCTCATGTCACTGTTTAGGAAGGCCTCCATATGAAGGAGCAAGGGACCAGAATCGAGGCTGAATAAGCTCAATTAACATTAATATTTTATGTAATTGGGTAAGGGAAATTTAATCTTTCCAACAGTGTGTCACCTGACAAGCATGCAGTCACTACACCCAACAGGAGGAGGTGGGTGGGAAGCTTGTTTTTGGATATTCAGATACATTTTGCTATTGAATACAAACCCAAACTGCCAACGTAAAACTCTGAGAGCCCAGTGTACTGCTAAATGGTACGATGGTAAGGGATTGTTTCACACTCGGGTGTCATGGGAGTGTTTGAAGCTTGGATATGGGCAGACACAGCCGCGTACGGGAGAAAGGCAGTCTTCAGTGTACGGGTCTGAGTATCCCGATAATTGGAGCCCGGTGGTATGCTGCGGCCTCTCGAGGTTGGGAACCGCAAACAGTCAACCGCGGGTTGGGTTGGGGCCAAAAAGAGTCATTTTAAAGGAATTGGTGCTGTGATTTCTTGATTAAACTGCACGCATAATTCTGCAGGCAAACCAACAAAATTGATACAAAGCAGAACTTCCTTGCAAAGGGTTTTTCTCACCGGTTTAGCTGGAGTGGAAATGGTGCTAGAGTATCGCTGTATGGGGTTGACAAATATTTTTCTAAGTTTGGACTAGGAGCTTTCTTGCAGACCGCCCGCTCTCCTCGCTGGGTCGGGCTGGGCTGAAGCCAGCTGGCCCTGCCCCAGGGCACCGGTGCGCCAGGTCGAGTGGGAGATGCTGTGCTTCAGCAGAGGCTGGAGCAGATCGTACAGCTCGTCTCCCCTTCTGCTTATTCACCTCCTGGACCAAAAAAAAAAATCCATCTTTTGGGTACCGCATGACCCTGGGTACGCCGGGCTTGCAACGTGTCCCAGCCGCATTGAGCCTGGCCTGCGTTGGGGAGGGGGTCGATGCTCCCGTAGCTGTCTGCTGTAGCCAGCTCTCTAAGCCTGCGCCTAAGTTTAGGCAACTGAGTAGTGCTGTTGAATTGATAAAATTGTTCACATGCCTGGTATCAGCACACTTTCAAATACCTGTTGAACCAGAGACGATGCAGGTTGCATCTTGGTTTTTGGAGGGCTGGGTTTTTTCTTCTGAGGTTTCCCTTGCACTATCGATTTGCCAAAAATAGGTTTACTTTGGGAAGCACGAATGTAAATTGAATAGAGGTTACCAAGTATTACTGTATTAAGTATGCTATAAAGGAAGGTTGATTCATCAATTTCTCGATCTTCGTTATTCCATTTGCTTAGGATGTTTGATTTTTCTATTACTAGTGGAAAAAAAAATAGAAGCTTCTTATTTCAGAAGGGGCTATGAACACTTCCTTATTGCTAGTGAAATGTAATGTATGCTTTAACGAGCAAAAATAGCTACTATCTGCCCAAAACACATACATTCATTGTGCAATCAGCAGTTTCATACATAAAATTAATACTTAAATGGTGCCAGGAGTATTAAAGCATGTAATTGTTATTATTTAAAGGCCTTTAATTCATTTGGAACAGTCACATTTTTGTTGTATATATTTTTGTTTCGCTTTCATAATCTACATTTTTAAGACATCCAGCAGTTAGGCTATATACAGTTATACGCGTGTTAGCTGCTTTTTAATTTATTCCTGTATAATCCAGTATTACTAAATTCTGTGGACTAAGGAACTGATCCTGTTCATTAAAATCAATAGATGGAGTGTTGCTCTGTGTGTGTGTGGTGTGGTGGTTTTTGTGGTTTATTTTTTCTTTGTGGGATCTATCCTTCAGCATATACCAAACTGATATATAAAGGGTCAGATCCTTTAGGCTTTACTTGGGGAAAATATCCACTGATGTCAATGCCTGAATAGGATCGGTCTCTTAAAAGGATAGTTTATTTGAAACTGCTGTAGCTATTATTATTTCCTTCTGGAGAAAAATAATCTTACTCATCAAAGCTGTAGAAATAGCATCAAGAAAGCCAAGTTCAGCATGTCTTACAGCCACGAGAGGTGTCAGCCATCGCTGTGTTAAAGCATAGCCTGGTACATACCAACGACCGTTCAACTATCTCTTTTCTTTCTTGTCTTTTATTTATTTATTTTTGTACTCCAACTCTTATTGGCATCTAAAATCACTAATCTCTATCCATTACTGTTTCTGCTAATTTACAGTGATAACTGTGGCTCTGTTTTCATTAGGAGATGAAAGCCGGGAAATTAAAAAACAAATTACAGGGATGAGAAGATTACTGAATGACAGCACTGGAAGAATCTATCAACGAGTTGGCAAAGAAGGAGAAAAACTGAAGGAGGAGCCCCAAGATTTAGACTTAGCCTGGGCCCAGCGCCTGAATGCCCCTGCAGAGTCCCAGGCGAGCCTTCATCCTTCACAGAGCGGTGCATGGAATGAATTAACACCCCAAGCTAGCCATTTTTCAGGGCAGTATGGAACTCGATCCAAAACGTTCCAAAATCAAACGCGAACCGTGGCATCCAATGGTATGATTTGCATTAGACACGGACAGTAGTACTTTTTTTTTTTCCTCTCCTTGTACTGTACTAAAATTCTGCCTTTGTTGTGATGATTTATTGTACCACTGCACTGAAATCAGTTATAGTTCAGAGTCTACAAAATGAGCACATAGTTATCACTTTGAAAAGGTGCGAAAGTGGGCACGGTGCATTCTGCTACCATCTGTCTTAGCTTTTAAAATGGATTCCTGGTGATAGGACAGAATTACTCAATGCTGTTACAGGCTTAATTTCTATACAGTACTTATTAAAACAGCTTTTGCCATTGTTATTAAATTCATAGCTAATTAAATGTCAACCTCTACCACTCCTCTTTGCAATGAGTAATGTAGCACTGTTGTGACACCAGTTGCGGAGCAGGATTCTACTGGCTTTCATAAGGGGATGGCATCAGCCTTATAACTGGCCACTGAACTTCAGGTACAAAATCCCATCACAGCCTTAGGCTTTTATTCCGATGGGGCCATTGGAGAAAAGAGATGATGGAGTTTATGAACAGCGTGTACTAGAGCGTGGTCCATCTTGTACTGGCAGAGAGTAGATTTCTGCCCTAAAATAGATGGCAGCGTGCCCTTAAAATGCTTTTCTCTTGTTGTTTTAAGTCCCAGAGAATGGAGGTTTTACTGCCAGATTCCTGAAGGTCTTCTTTAATGCTCTAAATTCAATTCAGAAAGTTTTTCTCCTGATAGTCAACCCTAAATTTACAGGGGTGGTTATATTAAAGGGGTACCCAGGTTCTAAGTTCTGGAAAATAAAAAATTGTGAGATTGCATCTGAAAACATTATCAATTTCCAGTTGATTCTGAAGGTATTATTACTTCCCAATAGGAGCATCTGCAGTGTATCCTTCTCTAAAGGCATACAAGTTCTCATAGCCTGTAACAATTAAAAAGAAAAATACTGTTGTTATTCTCAGTGCTGTCCTTTAGGAAGTACTGTCACTGCACTAAAAAACATACAGCCCTAGGTTTCACCAGATTGACTGTTTCTCTGTAGTGACAATGATTCACACAGAGGTACCGGTTGACCTGGAGAAAGATGTTGCAGTAGGTCATGCTAATTTTATTTATTTTATAATACAAAAAACCAGTTGTGTTATTTTAAAGGTGCAGATCCAGAGGAGAGGGGAAAACACTTGATGGGATTTAGCATCCAAGTCTAAAACTGTGCTGTCAAAATCCCACCGTAACAACCTTCTAAATGTGGAAGGACCCAAAATTCATCACACATCTCCCTCTGCCCTGAGAGTCCCTGGGCACCGGCAGGGACAGTTCTCTGCATGCACAGGAGTGCCCAGGCCTGCACAGCTCAGGTGCCTAGTTCCCGAATCCAGAAACTAGGTGGAGCAGCACCTCTATCCCCTCAGGGGCCTGATTCAGCGTGTGAGCTGAAACGTGTTGACAGGATTTGGCCCCGTATGCAAGAAAATGTCAGCTTTTTAATTTTTCATACAAGGAGGAAGGGTTCAGCTGATTTACGATCTCCTACAGGTTCGAATGGGGTGTGAGACAGCAGAAGGGGTGGGTTGAGCGACCTCTGGGCTGTCAGGAGGAACGTCCAAGCTCCCAGCTCTTGGGGGAGTCCACCCCTCCCTCTGCAGCTGTCCTGCTGCAGAAAGGAATGCGGTCTTTTAGGTTATTACATAAAGATGGGTGTGGGCCCTCTCCTCTGGCCACCTTTGAAAAGGCGACAACATCTCTTTGAGAGCAAGATTTCTCTTTGAGAGCAAGATTTTAGGTGTCTACCTCGAGTGGGGTGTTGTGATCCTGCTGGACAGTTTTGCTGCTTTGGCTCTGGAACCCAGTCTCTAGGAAAGAAAAACTTCTGATGCATTTCTGGGCTGTGAGCAACCTCTGAAACTGCTCCTCACCCAGCACACAGCTCTTCTGGGTGGCTGTTCTAACGTGCCCAGTTCCCTCCATCCCTTGCATTGGGAGCCTGAGTATCTAACTTGGTAATTTAGATGTTACTCAGAGGATGGACCAAGTCCTTAAAAGCTGGGTGTAGAAATGCAATCAAATCTCAAAGGAGATACTACTACTGGGTACTTACCATGGTGTTTAAACTCACCTGAGCAAACCTGTTCAGGTAGGACATAAGGTTATTGGGAAGATGTCCAGGCACCTATAGCAGGCGGTCCGAGTTCAGAAACTGTTTCTGTCCATTGGATAGATACCGTATAGGAAGCCAAAATATATGTTGTAGGCTGTGTGAATTACTCAAATTTGAATGTAATAGGGATCTAAGTCCATCTAACTAGCATAGTTATCTACTCGCATGGTAAAGGTGGTTCACGGAACAGCGGGAACGGATGTTTAATAGGTGCTGGTATAGAAAGCAGTCGTGAAAAAGATACTGGCAAAAATAGACGAAGAGAGAAAAGGAGGAATGGGGGGAGCCTAGGCACTGCTGCAGCAGAGGGAAGAGTAGGAAGATACTTGAAAAGCAAAGTGATTTATTCCAAACCACAAGTCAGGAAGTAAGGTAGATGTCTGTGACCCACTGCGCTTAGTGGAAGCATCTTGGGGTTATAAACAGCGATAGCATGTCTGCCCTATTAGAGACAGTAAACTCATAGAGTCTAAAACATTTTAGTTTCGTTTCTTGTGTTGTGTAGCAAATCCGGCAGCGATGCAGCAGCTGAATTGCTTTTTAGTTATGTCAAGATCGTTTTCAGTGGATTGCACTTGCATGCTTTTCAGATATAAACTTGTGATAGCAGTGTTACGCCAGGTGAATTCACGCCCAGCAGATCCAGCTGCAAGAACCACTGTCCTGGTCTACTTGCTACTCACACGGGGGAAGCAACTAATGTATTTGTGTCGTCTCCTTCTCTCAATCATACAAGCTGGTATCAAATTTGCCTGCTGGCTAGCTTCCAAAAGAGAGGGAGATGGCTCTTTAAAGACTCCTTCATAAAAATAAAAAGTCTGTTCTCCTTTTAAAATTAAAAATTGATTTATAACAAGTTGAAAAGGGTTGCTTTTGTCCTCTAAAAATGATAAAGATAGTGCTTGGAACAATGACTGAGAACACTCTACAAGATGTTTCTTACAATACAGTAACTGATCAGAGGAGGGAGGATAGAAAGAAAATAAAAAACCCTCATGAATATGTATGAATTCAGTAGAACCCTGCTTTGATTTGAAATATTGGTGGTCTCTTTTCCCATTTCCAGTACCTATGGTAGATTTACATGGGTAATTTCTATCAATGCTAATGGGGATTATAATGTAAATCCCCTATGCCTCAATGGGAAAATAGACCCTTTGGTTTTCCATCAGCAGCCTGCGTGCTTTCATTAGGAATGTGTTATATTGCAACAGGAAAGATGTACAGGTATTTACTGATACAGTTTGTCCAAGTTTTCACATGCAATTCACCACGCTGTAGAGTCTTTGTTGAAGGAAACGAAAGCCACCAGCCCTGTCTCCCACTGTAGTCCTTCAGATACTATTTCCAGAGGCCCACTAGAATATTGGATTCTGATCAAGAGAGAGGATGGGCCTTTTCCCGAGAAGCTTATTAGTCTAAAACAACTGAGAAAGCACTGGAGGAAGGATATTCTTACTATGTCTTTTGTTAATAAAACTCTCCTGATTTCCTGGGACTCCATTTCTGGGGTACCTGCTTGTCTTACTGAAAGGTATGGAGTTATGGTGATGCTATTAAATTATAAGTAGTCTTGAACCTCATCTACTTAAAAGTCTGCCTTTAACAAATAGTTAAAGGGTATTGGCGGAGCCAAGTTGAGGGATTCTGAGTAATCTGCTGCAAAGCTAAAGATAACATTATTTTTTTTCCCTCTGTACCTGGTAACAATGGGCTAAACGCTTTATGGACCATTGAAAAGATAAAATCCCATCCATGCCCCAAGGAACTTTCAGTCCGAATAGCGTGCAAAGGAAGGGTGAGATCAAACTAGGCAGAGTCCTGCTGAGTCAGTAACCTGTGTTTTGTTTTAATTTGAGACTCAGCCTGTTTTTCAGATCGCTTTTTGCTTTTAAAAAGTTGTTGTAGTTACAGCTGAAGAAGCCAGTGGAACTATCACATTCATATTTGCTAGATCTGCAGAGATTCTTAAATTACTCCGTTTATCTTAGTGTGGTATTAACAGTTTCTGTCCATGGATGATATTTTAAAATACCAAAATTTGTAATTGCAGTAGTGTGGACAGTCTAAATATCTGAGGAAAGGAGGAGAGCAACACCCAGAAGATGTCAGCAATGTTTAAGTGACACATCAGTTTAGTTTCAGAAGTAACTCACTGTTGGGAGAACGACCACCAGTTTGCTCAAGTCTGATAGATGTTACATCAGAGCTGAAGGACTCAATGGAAGGAGGTAGAGAACAAGTACCTGGGAAGGGAGACTTGAGGATGGAGGGACACACTGGAAGAACTAGGAGAGGGTGGGAGTGATCCAGTGCTGGCCAGATTTTCAGCCATTGCAATTGAGGATTGAAGTCAGGGGATCTGTGTGGGCCTGGCATCAGGGGAGCTCTGATGAAAGAATACAAACCAAACCTAAAAAGTTATTAATAAACTGGTTTGGCTTCAGAGGAAAGCAAAAGTAATAATGAAAAATGGGAGGATTTATGAGTGAAGATTAAATGAGTTGCTTATGTTCACTTTAGCTCAGTAATGATTAAAGGGCACCTGATAACTGTCAGGCTATGGAAGAAAAAGGGAAATACACTCTCTGAAGCCCACCACATGTGACACCAAGTGAGATTATTTTTGTTAGATCTATTTGTGCCTATCTTCATAAAATTATCATCCCTCCTCTTGCATGCTTTGATGAGCAGTAAAATAGCCATCAATTTAAATGACTGTAAGCACATTTTGAAATGAAGGGAGGTATATCCCATCTGGCCTCAGTTTCAAGCAGATACTGCTAGGTGTTTTGTTGAATGTTGAAATTTTTATTTGTAGTGTTAAAGCATTTTAAACTAAAGCACAGGATACAACTATTCAGGTGAAGCTTGAAATCTCTGAACTGTTACAGCCTGTCCTAATTCCGGACCTATGATGCAAAACTTTTGGAAAGGAAGGCAGTAATAAAAGCACTGCTAAGGCCTAGAACTAGAAGTGTGTAAATTCAGTTAAACACTAGTAAGAATTACTAGAAAAGAAGAATTTGTTGAACTACTATATTAATTTTCAAGGGGAAACTATGGAAAGCCTATCTCATAGGTCACAGTGCTGGCAAACATGCCATAGAAAACAATCCCACCCTGGCAAGCAGAAGAGCAGATTTGAAAGCTTTCCTTGCCGGTGGTTCTTTTCCATCGTCAGGGTTTTTTTTTTTTTTGTCATCCGAATAGAGGATTTTATTTTCATTCTCAATTCTTCACATGGTAAAGAATCACATGTAACATCCAAGCAGTTTAAAAATTTTTAGGCCCTCATTTAATGTGCAGTATAAACCTTTATCACACAGACTGTCTTCATTCTTTGTAAGACTGTTCCGGGAGATGGGCTTTTTTTTGTGTGTGTGATAAAATGAGTATGTTTATAATGAGGTTTGGTGCTATTGTTATTCAAGATGAACTAGCCTGACAATAGAGAGCCCTGCTGTGAAGGGTGTTGTATTCACACTCTGAGCAGTCTTCTCCAGCCCATGTAACTGTTGCATCCCCCACTGTATATAATTGCACATACCAGTAATTGGATAAAACCTAGTGGCCCCTTCCTCTTAAAAGGGACCATGTTGAAAATTATTTGCTTTCTTGCTTTGGATCTAATTTCTTGATCAGGTATATAGTTTCAAACACCTGCTGGTAATTGTTGTTTGGGTGTTTTTGTGTGGGTTACATCGGCTCTCCCCTGTTTCATTCCTCTCTCTTTCAGGAGAAATCCCGATGGTGAATTCATCAGTTGGACCAAACTGCTGTACATGTAATTGCCAGTCAACCCTACAGGCTATTCTTCAAGAGCTCAAGACCATGCGAAAATTGATGCAGATTCAAGCAGGTACAGTGACCAGTCCCATACAAGCGTATCCATGACAAGCACCTTCTTGTTAGGAGGAATGGTCTAGTAAGACAGAAATCTATCTGGAGACTCAAGAAAACCTGGACTGTTTCCTGCTCACTTGACATGTTGTTCAAAGTCAAATTTTCACAGGCTTCTTGGAAATGTATTTTTTACTTCTCAGATCCTTACCTGTAACATGGGATATTATCTTGTAGGAATCTTTTAAGGCTAAATTGAAAAAAAAATCTAATACTCTAGTAATGGGAGCTGAGTGGGTAGGTTAGTATGCCATAACTACTCCCAGTTTGTTTTCACGGTGTATTCGTTCAGAGGTGCAAAATGCTACTTTTTCTGTTGCCGGTTTACCAGTTCGCTAATCTTAGGAGGGGAAAAAAAAAAAAGTGGAAGGCCACTTAAAGTTACTGTATAACATTTCATTCAAAGATCTTTCAAGTTACAGCTCCATGCTACCCTAAACTGAGCTAGCTAGCTGCTGCATGTTGTGGCCTCTGCCCTTCTTCAGGCTGGTTTACCAGTTCTTTCTGCTGGCTGAACCAGCAATAATCTGTTCATTGAGGAAACTGTTGAGTCTAGCTTTCTGCTAGGTTAGGAGTTGAAACACAACAGTGCAGAGCCAGAAGAGCAGTAGAGCCAGCAAGATAACGAGACCATGGCAGCTAGGAGTTAGGTAGGTCATGGTAGGCTGCTGTGAAGCTGCAGCCTCCGTCCTTCTTAAAAATTAGTGTTAATACTAATGAGGAGTTGGAGACATTGGAGATTTTGTGAGTTGAGTTGCCCATCCATCGTGAGTGATGGGGAGTGGAGCCGTGGAGGTTTTTCTCTTAGAGTAGCTGGATAAGACCTCTGTAAGAAAAAGGAGTGTTGAGTAATTAACTGAAAATATGGGTGGAGTGAAGGGCTGGCTAAACTCCTTGTCTCCACGGCGTATAATGCTTGAGTGAGCGACAGGAAAGATCAGACAGCTTTTGTAATATCAGTTGATATACATAAAAACGCTTTTCAAAAAGTCATTGATTTACAAAGAAGCACGTGAAGGTCCAGTTTTGCAGTCTTTGCTGGGGCAGGGAATTCTTTACGCAGTTGCACCGATTTCATTGAAATTACGTGCATGATTAAAAACAGCTTGTGGGTGAGAGGTACAGAACTGGGGTTTATGCCAGAAGAGCTGGATCCTCAAAAGCAGGAATATTTCTTATTTATTATGTATCTACAGTATAAGTACCTTGTTAATTAGTGAATCTCTTGATGAAGAGGCCTGGGAATAGTTTATATTTTCTGGTAAGCATGAAATGATGGTTTTGCAGAGAAAAAAATAATTTGGCATTTTTGTTGCTAAAAGAAAAAGAAGTAAAATGCAAACATATAAATGAAAGTGTAGTAACTTATTTTAGTATTCAAACACCCTTCTGTCTAAATGATAAAATACAAATTACAGTCTTGTAAATCCTTGCCAGAAATGAAGTATCCCAGAAATCTTTTACTAAACAGTATTCCGAGCTTTGTTTTTTTCCTGAAGCTTTGTAGATGAGGACTATTTGTAGTTCACTCATAGCTCGAATGAATTTGATTTGCATGTGTAGCACCTTTGGCTTTTTTTGTTTTGACCTTGATCTTATTGATTCTTCCGGACATATAATTGTATCTGCATAGCATTCTGCTGGAGGACTTGCTCACGTTGATACAAGTTCAGGATTGGCACCTTAATTCACACAAATGATTGTGGATACTGGAAAACGCAAGATATTGATAAATATAAAATATGCTCTCTTAGTTTTCAGAGGTAACACATGAGCTGTCAGTATCTGTATATGAGCAAATCAAACTGATGCAACTTTGGGTTACTTTTTTCCTAGAAATTAAACTACTGAATAGTGTTTTCACTCATTCTTGACATAATGGTACTTGAAATGTTCTTGCTGAGCTAATTAACTTGGTGGCTACATTCATAAAGATAACTAATTGCATTAGCACTTGTATTATCTTACTTTATCAGGAAAAGGTGCTCAAAGACAATGAGATTCTCAGTCATTCAAGAGGGTATACAAATTAATCATTGTTTAAGTCCTTCGTGTCACCAACCATCCAGTGGTCACTAGGAGAAAGAACCGCATATTCCTAATTTTCCTAAAACACTATTCATGAGCATGTCTTGAAAATACTCATAGTAGAGCTCAGTGTGATTATTTGCGTTGTACAGACTGGAAAATAATGCAAAGGTGATAAAATGTAACTGTTTCACATACACAAACAGCCCTGAAAACCGTACCACTTATCCAGAAGATAAGTTTAGTGTGGCAGTAGTTTAATGGTGCATCTATGTGGTTATACATGTGCTTTTTTCTATAAATTTAATTCATTACTTTCTTTCATTCAGTTGGGACTCAAAACAGACAGCAGCCTCCTGTTCCTCTGATTTGCACGCAAAAGTCAACAATATCAAGAAAGAGAAATAAAAAGAAAAAACTGCCCCTCAAAACTGTTGAACCAATTACCATGAATAAGAAACCCAACACTGCAGAGAACGAAAAGAAGCTATCAGCAAACTCAGAACGATCAAGTCTGCAAGCAGTTGAACCCCCCCTAAAGCCAGAAACCCCTGTTTCAGGATTTGGAATTATCCTTGAATCGGCTTCATCAGATGTAAGTTAATGTTTTAATATGTGGGATCACAGGATGTTAAAGCACTAATCTGTGCAGGAGAATCAATACTCAAGTCAGCTTGAGTGTGTTCCCTCTTCTTGTTAGAATAAACAAGCAAATCTTGGATAGGGTTGAATGGAGACAGTAGGGTTAGATGTGGGGAGTGCTGATTACAAAGTTGTGGGGTTTTTTTTTTCAACTGAGTGCTGATTACAAAATTTGGGCAGGTTTTTTTTCAACTTTCATGAGCGTGTAGTTCTCCCTTGAGTTCAAGGCTGCCTGTTGTTTGAGCTTGCAGTGGAAACTTTTTCTTCATTTCTTTTGTTGCCAAGAGCCACGGTGAGATCAGGAGCCGTGAAAAGTGCTGTGTGTATAAACCGTTCACAACCCTGTCATTTGCTGATGAGCACATGGAGTCCACACATATGCCTTTACCGTGCCAAGATGTATTTATGTGCTGTGTTTCATGCCTGGCTGGTCCCACTGGCTTCAGGGGACTCCTCACCTCTATAAAGTTCATACCTCAGTCTTTGCTGAATCGGGTGGTTGCTGGATGAGGGCCTTGACGCTGTTGATGATGTCAGTGTGACTAAAGGGGCCAAAATTTGCCACTCTACGTAATTTTCGCATGTTAAATTGCAATAAGCATATTTTCTTGATCTGTGTAACATGTACGCATTGATAGAAATTTCATGTATCTGGTGGCTGATTGGCTTTTTTTAATGACCAGATAGATGTCATCTGAACCAGTTCACTGATGAGTAAACTGATCATTAATTTCTCTAATATATTTTTAATTTGAGCAGGCAGTTTCCAATTTCCTAAGTACTATGAGCTAGAAAAACATAATTAAATTCAGTATCAATAAGCGTAAATGAAAACAATGCAGCAGATAATATTCTACCTTTCTGGAAGTGGGAACTAATAATAAAAAAGAGCAGTCATGATAATTCAGTTATATAGATGCAAGCCACACCACTAATTAGATTGCAGTCTCATGCCATAGTGTTGGTGTAGTGATACAGAGTAACTAGTTTGATGCTTTTTCAGAGGTTTTTCTTTTGTAGAATTATGCTTAATAATGTTTGAGGGAATGGTTTGGGGAGGGACTGGTAATTTATCTCCAGTACGCAATTTGTGCTTATAATTTTTCTTCGCTTGTGGCACTCTTTTCAGCTTGAAACACGGTTTTGAAAACAGTTTTGTACTTGCAATGGAATTTAATTTGGCTTTATGAATGTGTTCCATCACTGGACACAATTCTTCGTAGGTGCCAATTTGACCTAAGAAAAAAAAGAGAAAATACATGGCTCATAAATCAGGTCCTCATCTGCCCTCCCATGCTTTGGCCCCTGCTTGCCACAGTAGTTGTTTGACTAAATTTGCAGAGCCAGAACCCTGAGACAAACAAATTGATTTTGTTTTGTCTTTGGAAAGAAGGCAGTTGAGTTCTGAAAATAGATATATGTAATAGCGAAAATAAAATGTGACCTTAAACATTTTGAGAAGGCTAAAGAAAGTCACTTCTTTCAGAATGAATGGCAGTATTATCTTTTTCTATTTATTCATAAGCATCTCTAGTGTGTTCATGACCAGCGTGTCCGAGTGCCTGAAAAAAACTAAAGATATTTTACACAGCACCATAAATAAATGTTCCCTTGAGAATATTGCACAGGTTGTCTTCGTGTGTGCTGTGTCATACACTAGGACTGCCGCCACTGTTATTTTGCCAACATTTATTGAACTGTAAGAAAAATCTCAGTTTAATGTGTATAAAATGGGGGCTACCAAAAGCAGTGCAATTAGTTCAGATTTGCTGAGATGAGATACTGCCACTTATGAGATGGAAAAAGTCTTTGTGAGACCAACTCTTTATCTGGCCCATGAATCAGAGCACCTGCTTTTTAGATGTAATGATCTGTTACTCTTAGTTAAAGTTTCTTGTGTTTGTTTTACTGTTACAATGTTTCATTTATAACCTCATCATTTCTAATCTACCTAGTACAACCTACTAAAACGTCTAGGATTAAATCTAATTCGCTGCCTGTTAATTTTAGCACAGCAAAAGCCTTTGGCATTCAGGTCTTATTTATTTTATTGTACACAAATAGTTTACCCACCAGTTCCTTATGCTGTGATCATTATCTACTAACAAATGCTTTTCCTTTTGAGAAATCGCATTCAAAGTGATCATAAAGCTCAATTAGGTACTGATTGTCTTTGATTGAAGAATAGTTTACTACTAAAAGAAAGCAAGAATAAATCAGCGTTTTGCCTTCAAATTATTTCACTGATACACAAATTTATTCCTGTATTAAGAATAAAATAGTCCAAACTAAAATAATATTGACTCCTTCACGCTGGTGCACTGGTAAGGGTTGAAATGTATTTTACAGCTGTATTAGTGAAGATGATTTGTCTGCCCTAGGCATCTTGTATCATCAAGGTCATCTTATATTGCTATCATAAGACCCAAGACCCAAGTAACAGAGTAGGACAGGGTACCTTCATCACCATGACAACTACATTCTAGTTTTTGATTAACATGAAGTAGAATTTTTCCCAAGTTGTAAACTTGGCCCACATTTATTTACTCTTGAAAATCTTTTCTGTCACCAGAAAGTTTAGAAGTAACATATTAAAAACCCACCTACATCAGAAGATTGTCAAATGTCAAATAGAGTAACTCTGACTGTTTTGCTGGATCCAGCATTTTGAAAGTTCTCAAGGTAAAAAACACCTTTTCATCCAGAACAAGCTGAGAAATTTATGTGCTTTTTCGATTTTTTTTTTTTTAATTACTATCTGCATATTTTAAGACTTCATCCTGGCTTCCCAAAGCATTGTAATCTGCAGTTTTATTGCACAATACACATGCATATCCAGTGATAGTATATGCTTTGAAAATACTCTGCTTGCTGTAACTCTCTTGATATTGATTTTAAAAAATCCATGGGAAAAGAGTTACACAGCCAAATCCTTCTGAGATTGGCAGCCCTTTCTTCTGTCTAGACTCAAGGCGTTTGCAGGTGATTTGATGGGAGATGGCATTTGCTCTTGCTCTGTAAATATCTTTGAAAATGCACCATCACTGGTGGATATATTTTCATATAGGGGAAAACCAGAGCAACTTATTAGGAGCAACGCTGTAATGTTAGGTTATTTTCTCACATCATGACAACTGTTTCCCCCCCGCCCCTTGCCAACTTCCAGATAATATCTTAAAAATTTTAGTTTATTCATGATGTATCTTCATTCTAGATACATAATTATTCCATACAGACATCTTGCATAAGCAGTGTGGTAGTCATATTAAAAAAATACTGTAAATATTGTTCGTGTAATTTCTGATATGTACAGACAGGGGCAGCAAAAAGACTCTTAGCAAGGGGACTTCCTTGAGGACCTCTGTCTGCTTTTGCCCACAATGTACTTGAGGCGAGACTCTTGTGAAATACAGGATAATTTTGTTCCCTCTTCTTCCCCTCCATCTTGCTTTCTGGCAATGGCATAAATCCCTGTGATTTACCACTGAGGTTTTTTGTGCTGAAATAAGCTGTCTATCTAACATCATCCTCTTCTAAGGGTGCATTTTGGGAATATGAAAAGGAGGGAGAGGTGGCTGATCAGCGAGCACTGGCTCCAAGGGCAACCTCAAACTCATCATCTACTCCTACTCATATGGGCTGTATCTGCGCTGGAAGCCCTCTTGGGAAACCACGTGGAATGGGCCGGTAGCCCTGCAGTTGTCCTTCTTGGAAATGCCTGGCTGCCCCACAGCACGCTTGTTCACATCATTTGGCAGTGAAACAAGTCCATAAAACAGTTAGATAAATGTCCAAAAAGCTTCTCATAGGAATATTGCTCTGGGATGATCCTCTGGTTTGTCATTATTATCCAATATTGAAAGGTACCTCTTTTCTTTTTGTTAGCTGTATGCCTAGAAATAATGTCAGTAATTGTTAAACTATTACAGTGGCTAGACATGAGTATGATTATTTGATTTGCCTTTTAAGCTGCTTATTCACTGATGGGGTTTGATTTCAATGAAGTAGGCTGCTGTGGTACTGAATAGCTGGGAAGAGATTCATGGTTTGATTAAGTGATTGTAAAGTCTACACCAGATGCACGATTGAAGTAAAATAATGTATTTGAATGCTCTTTTAATTAAAACATTTGTATTCTTTTGGTAGCCAGAAGTGCAACTTGCAGAAGGCTTTGATGTCTTCATGCCGAAATCTCAGCTGGACTCTATATTATCAAACTATACTCGCTCAGGAAGTCTGCTCTTTAGGAAGCTGGTCTGTGCATTTTTTGATGACAAGACTTTGGCTAACTCTTTACCAAATGGCAAAAGAAAAAGAGGGCTCAATGACAACCGGAAAGGACTAGACCAAAATATTGTGGGTGCAATAAAAGGTACGGTTTTTGCTTTCTTTCATATGTGTAATTAGAACATACTCTCAGCTAAGGAGAGTGTAAGGGGATTAGAATTTCTGACGTGTGTTAGGTCTATTAAAATATGCAGTCTTATTTTTACTCCTTTCATTCACTTGTTAAAAATAGCTTCTACAGGGACAGCTTGTGTTAATTTTAAGCCAATGATCCTGGTTTCTGAAGTCAAGCTCTAAGGTTAGAATCTTAATAAGATAATTTTTTTTTTTTCTGGATATCAGAGATGCAAAGAAATCTTGAAAACATAATGACCGCATAACTGATCCTCTTCGATCAAAATTCTGAGGCTTGCACTGCATCTGGCTGTGTTCTGCTCTGTAAATAGTTTAGTAGTTGGTGGCTGGATTGGGGAGAGATGGAGGAGGATTACACTGGGAGTGAGATGAGTTTGATGCTCATAGGAACTGTGGTGATCCTTCTTTTGTGGGAGCAAATTTCTTAGTCAGTGTGAGGATCCTGTGCTGGGTGGGTTTTTTTAGTGATCACTGCTTTCTCGCTTCCAGAAGAACACGTGTACCTTCAAGCTCTGTGATCACAACATACAGAGAGTTAGTATTAGGCCAGATATTCTGAACGGGATTCTATTATTTTGAAATTTGGTATCGTAGGGAAAACACCCAAGTTACCAAAAGACAGGCTGTGTTGCAGAGTAGAGCTTATTTTAGAGGCTGTGACTCGTCCTGAGGTACAGGTTGCTAACCTAGGAGACATAAGGTAATAAGAAGAGCTTCTATAAGTACATTGGCAGCAAAAGGTGGCAGGGGAACCTTTTGCAACCACCTCTGTGTCCACTTTTGCCCCCCCCCGCCAGGCAAGAAAGACATTGACATACTGGAGTGAGTCCAGTGTAGGGCCACCAAGACTTATGGTACTGAAGCAGGTAAGTGGTGAAATATGTATGTGAAGTGACATATGAGGAGAGGCCGAGAGAACTGGAGAGAAGAAGATTCAGGAGAAACCTTATTGCTGTCCACAACTACCTGACGGGATGGTGTAGAGAAGATGGAGTCAAGACTCTTCTCAGAGGCATAAGAGGCTTCGGACACATGCAAAATTTCAACATGATATAAGGAAAAGCTTTTTCAACATAAGGGTGGTTGAACAGTGGAATACGGGCTCAGAGGGGCTGCAGGATCTCCATCCCTGGAAATATTCAGAACTTGACTGGTCGCAGTCCTGAGCATCATGATCTAGTTGCCATGCTTTGAGCAGCAGGCTGGACATGGAGACCTCCAGAGGACCCTTTCAACCTATGCAATTCTGCGATAAAGTATGTGCTATGGCTATGTCATAGTCCTAATACATCTCACAGAGTTTCTGGCAGACTTTCTTACAGTTACGCTTATAATTAAGTTTCAATCACAAACACTTCTTTTGTACCTTCTTTTCTTGAACTCAGTAATCTGCAAAAATCCAAAGGTGAATTTACTCCATCTGTATCTCATTCTTCCTTAAAAGCTTTAATAAATAAGTTAAATGGAAGAAAAAAGGAGTTCAAAATTACTTTAAAAAAAAAAAACCTCTAATTTGGGTAGCACTATGATAAAAGAAATGTTTTTCAGTAGATGCAGCAGCACTATTAAAATAGCAATTGTTACCCACTGCAGAGAGCAATGTTTCTCAGCAGCTAAGCTCATATTACTGGAGCAAATTCTGAAGCTTGGTTTAACCTCTTCCCTTGAGCCCCGGGGGGAAGAAAGGAGGGAATTTTAGTTCCAACAGATACGTTTCATCTGTGATGGTACTACTAGGTACCGATGTAATAACAGTGATCTGTATTGGCATTTACAGTGTTGCCCAAATGCTAGTGCCTGATCCCTGATAGGGGAGCCCATCCCTAAATGCTGTGATGGAATAAGGTGCCAAGGGCTGACATCCTGTGGATCTTTACTCAGCCTGGCTCCAATAGCACCCTTCTTCCCTCCAAAGAGCTGGGCTGTCGGACACTGTGGTTTCATTTATTCCAAGAATAACTGAGCCAGTATGAAATCTCCACAAGAACAACATCATGTTGTTTGCATTATTATCATTAGGACATTCCTCTACCACGTGCCCAGATATCCTTTAGTGGCACTTTTAGTCCTTTTCCATGAGAGAGATAGAAAAGTGGAGAAAAGGCTACATTCATGACAAGAAGGAGCAGAGAACTTAAAGGAGGGACTGTTTGCTTGAAAATCACTCTTCCTGTCTGAAAACATTTTAACTGCCATCCTTACAAGTAATTTAATGCTTCTGCAACAGGATGATTAGCCAGGGAGAAATTGTCTCTTTTGACTTTGGGTATTCAGTGGCACTTGTTGAATCAGTTGCAGTGTTTCTCCCAGGCAATCAGTTTCCCTTGTGAGTTGCATCAATCTTTCACTCAGAACTGGGGGAAAAAAGGAAAAAAGAGACCAGAAGTGATTCTTTTTCCTTTCTGTTGTTGACTAGAAATCCAGCCAGTGAAGTCCTTCCCTGCAGAAGTCAATGAGCTGTGTTCGGATGTACGTGTGATGTGTCCCTCAGGGGTCTGTATTGAGACCAGTACTATTCCATATCTTCATCAGTGCTATAGACAGCAGGATTGAGTGCACCCTCAAAAAGGTTGTGGCTGACACCAAGCTGAGTGGTGCAGTTGATTCACTAGAGGGAAGGGATGCCACCCAGAGGGACCTTGACAGGCTTGAGGAGTGGCCCATGCTGTTCAACAAGGCCAAGTGCAGGGTCCTGCACCTGGGTCAGGACGATCCCCAGTATCAGTGCTGACTCGGGGCTGAAGGGAGTGAGAGCAGCCGTCCGTGCAGGGAAGGACTTGGGGGTACTGGTGGGTGAAAAGCTGGACATGAGCCAGCAATGTGCGCTTGCAGCCCAGAAAGCCAACCGAATCCTGGGCTGCATCACAAGAAGCATGGCCAGCAGGTCGAGGGAGGTGATTCTGCCCCTCTGCTCTGCTCTGGTGAGACCTCACCTGGAGCACTGCGTCCAGCTCTGGGGCCCTCAGCACAGGAAGGACATGGACCTGTTGGCGGGGGTCCAGAAGAGGGCCATGGAAATGATCAGAGGGGTGGAACACCTCTGCTCTGAGGAAAGGCTGAGGGAGTTGGGGTTGTTCAGCGTGGAGAAGAGAAGACTCCAGGGAGACCTTTCAGTACTTAAAGAGGGTAGGTTTAGATTGGACATAAGGAAGATTTTTTTTTTTTTTTTTTTACAGTGAGGGGGGTGAGACACTGGCACAGGTTGCCCAGAGGAGCTGTGGATGCCCCATCATTGGAAGTGTTCAAGGTCAGGTTGGACAGGGCTTTAAGCAACCCGATCTAGTGCAAGATGTCCCTGCCCATGGCAGGGGGCTTGGACTAGATGAACTTTAAAGGTCCCTTCCAACCCAAACCAGTCTGTGATTCTATGATGTAGGGAGTTGTTAGCACCACACAGCTCAGGTTGACTAGAAAGGGGAGGCCCCACTTCTCCTGCCTCCTTCCTAATGTATTCCCATTCCTTTTTGCCCACATTGGTGTTTCCCTAACCACACATTGAGCAATCAAAGCTATTTTGACTTTTCATTCAAGAGAAGAACAAGCAAGTTAGAGAAGCAAGTTAACTTACTGGCTCTCCAAGGCTGCCGGACTCTGGCTTCCTGTGCAGGCAACACCAGGCAGAAGTCGTAATCCCCACAGTAGGCACCTGCGGTGGGTGGCCTGGGTACAGCCTGGTGTCACAGATTGTTCCCAGGCCCTGGTCACAAGCAGGAACTGCAGTTGCGTGTTGGAAGTAAGCAGGAGTCTTAGGTCACTGATCAGGTTCCCATTGTGTCAGGTACTGTATAGATTCAGAAGGGAAAGATTATTTCTACCTTCAGAGAGACCGTGATAGTTGCAAATCGGACACTGGCAATGTGTGGGGCTGTGTTGACTTCTCTGGGAAGCCCTCAGAGTTGGTCTGACATCCTTGCTGATCGGAGTACAGAGAAAAGCATTGCTAATGCCTTTCATGCAGTGGTTTTGTGAAGTTGTTAACGTGGAAAGAGTTTGGAAGGTGTGATTACTTTCAGTCCCTTTATACTTACCAGCTAGTGCTGTTTCAAAAGCGTGTGAATAAAAATACTGAAATTGTCATTTTTTGTTGCATGCTTCCCCATCCCATTCATGTGACATTTATTCTCAAGGATTACAAATTCCTTGAGCTGGGACCAGTGTTCTTTCTTTGTTTGCCAGTCATAATTGGACACTGGGCTCTGAGACCTCTGACCAAGGCTACAATAGCAATACTAACAGTAATAATATTTTTTCTATTTTTGCTCTTGTTTATTTTTTGCACACCTCTCAGTTGTGTGATGAAAATCAATTGCATCAGTTTCGCTCCATTTATAATTCTGTATTTTTGGTATAACATTGCTAGGTTTGCTGTAAATACGGAATTAAAGATGATGTTACAACTACCTGAAAGGAGGTTGTAGTGAGGTGGGTGTTGGTCTCTTCTCCCAAGTAGCTAGCGATAGGACAAGAGGAAATGGGCTTAAGCTGCGCCAGGGGAGGTTTAGACTGGAAATTAGGAAAAATTTCTTTACGGAAAGGGTGGTCAGGCATTGGAACAGGCTGCCCAGAGAGGTGGTGGAGTCACCATCCCTGGAGGCGTTTAAAAAACGGGTAGATGTGGCACTTCGGGATATGGTTTAGTCTGGTCTACCCTTGATTAGTCTAGAGTGGACTTGGTAGTGTAGGTTAATGGTTGGACTGGATGATCTTAAAGGTCTTTTCCAACCTAGATGATTCTATGATTCTATGATTCTATGATTCTATGATGTTGACCCTCTATGTACCATTTTTACAAAATACAAAATTGGACCTGTAGGATACTGCTTTTTTCTCAATAATGACTTATTTTTTTCTTTAGTAGCTTTATAAAGATTCTGTTCCATATGGTTTGGCAGTATGAGAACTGTTTTCCACAGTGGTAGGACTTCTGTCTTTCATCAGTTTGCCTGCAGCTTTAGGAACCTGACCAAGAGGCCGCCAAATGACCAGATCTTCAGCCCTGTACTTGTACCATATGGAAGGCAGCATTTATAAGTGCCTGCCACATCTAGAGACTCAGTTCAAAGTACACTGTTACTCTCCTGTGATGTTTCTGTGTGAAATTCATGAATGCAAGACATAAGGTGTAGACCGTTGCTCTGGGATAGGCTTTTATAAGTAGTAACTATGGTATTACTGTGGTATTTGTACACACAAATGATTTCTGAATGATAAACTTGTGAAATGCTGAGTTGGACTCTGTTCTCGCAATCATAGATTTGGCCATTTAAATGCCCTTTGATAAGTGGATAATTTGATACATTTTGTTTATAATCCTCTCCAGTCTCCCTTTCTCCATTCTGGTGGTACATTTCAAAAAGATGGTATCTTTTTATTTCAGTCTTTACAGAAAAATACTGCACTGCTAACCATGTGGATAAACTTCCTGGTCCTAGGGACTGGGTCCAGATTCTTCAGGATCAAATTAAACTTGCAAGACGACGATTAAAAAGAGGGTCAGGTATGTATAAAAATATAAGGAACAACATGTGAGTGTAAGATTAAAAGCTTAGAGCCTTTGTGTCCACCAAAGTGTTTTTCGTGTTGACTGTAGAGTTGTACATGTTCACTCTATGAAAATCAGACGTCTAAGATTTTAGTAGGTTTCTGTGTAAAGTACAGTGTTTCCTTGTGTTTGGTACGGTAGCAAGTTTAGGAGCTGTCTTTGCAGCCAAGCTAACTTTGAGTCTTTCTCAAATGTTGTCTCTAACCCCTTTCCATTAGCACCGAAACTCTTCTTCCCAGTGTTTGATGAAATCTGAGTCCTAAACTAGCTGATCCATCCAGGGTTGCAGGTAGAAGTTTTTTAATTCTGTGTTATTTGGTCTGACAAGCCACTTACTGTACTGTTAAGACATAACCCAAATTACCTTTCCCTCTAAACTATATACGTCTGGAAGGATAGATGAGTTTTCTCACATTCCTTGTGAAAGAATCAGCATCACTGTAGCAAAAAAAAAAAACCAAACCACCCACCCTGGTTGTGCCAGCAAGGTTCTGCAATACATAGGAGGGAGCTTGCCAGCAGTGAATAACAGGTAACGTAGGTAGGGTTTTGCAGCAAAGCTGCTAACTTGGGCTGGGATAACCTGCATGCTTGGGGCTGGGACCAGCCAGCTTAGCTCAGCGCTAAGCTTTCACCCCGACAGCACGCAGCTGGTGAGGTCTCAGCTTCAGCGACGAACAGCAATGTGCAGTCTCAAAATACCCAGTAGAATTCATGGGAAAGCAATATCACTGATTAAGAGACGTGTAATTACTTTATAAACCTTAACTAGTCTCCTTCCCATCTTCATGCCTCCTATCCTAACAAGGGGTTTTCTTTATACAAAGCTTCACTTACTCTTCCTCATCCTAGTGTTTTCTTAAGGCTCTCTCGTGGTTGTATTTCTTGCCCATCTCTCCCTCGGAGCATCTGACACCGTTGTCTGAGGCATATCATTTGTGCCAATGTCCTTAAACACAGTCCTTCACTGTTACCGTATTTAGCGGCCTGCCTTTTCCCCTCTTCCCTTCTGCCCATCACCACAATTAAGTGCCTGTTAGCATCCAGGGATTGACGGGATGGGAAACCTGATGGCTCTGCAGCGGATGCTGGTGGTCCCCGTGGCTACGGGGGCGGTGAGCAAGACCGCAGGAAATGTCCTCTCCAGCTCCAAATGTTCTCTGTCCAAAGCTGTGCCTCTGAAACACATACTTAGACTGGCATCTGAAATCATTCTCCACAATGTTATTAATGCCAGGAGGGAAAAGCATAAGACTGAGGAAAATGAGAAACACCCAGAGACAGAAATAACACAGGGGGAGGAAAAAAGTGCAGATTATTCAGTAGCATAAGCTTCCCTGAGTAGAGAAGCAAACCAGCACTAGCCTTAAAAAGGGTTTCTTGTGCATGTTGGGGGAGGGAGGAGAGAGGGATACAAGATAATCTTGTTAAAGACAGTGTCAGATTACTGGTGTTGTACAACAGGGCTGCTTTCTGCCACTTCCAAGGCTGCCTGGCCCCCCCAGGACAGGAGGGTGGAAGTGGGATGCCAGGCTTTGATAAGGTGAAGAGTGCAGTGTGGGTTGCGGGGAGCAGAGGGTCCTTGGGCTGTCTGCAGAAGATCCCTTGAGAAAGAGGATTGACCTAATTTTGTTTTGATTTTTATTTTCTTTCATCCTTTCTTATTTGCTTTTCTTCATGTCTCTGCAGGGTATTAATTAAAATGACAATGACGTTCAGCTTTTGCCTTTCAAATGGGGCCACATCCATCTCTGGTCCTTTCTCAGGATGGGAGAATCTAAGCAGAGGATATTGTCTCTAAGCTAGCAGGACTATGAAGAAGAATAAGTGAAGCTGAGTATAGTGTAACTGAGTAAGATAGGCTCCAATATCTATCTTTAGCTGCAGAGGGAAGGTAACTCGTTAACCAGTATGTGGATGAGTAGTGAGCAGCAATGTACCTAGCAGCCCCTCAGGTTTATTTGCTGAAAAAAAGTACACAGTACCTAGACTGGTAGAAAAGCTCTTTTTTGTGTTGTTTAGTTTACCGGCCATTCCCTGAAGTGCACCAGTTTCTCTGTGATATGAGACCACAGGCAGACATGCTCTTTTCGATCTAGCAGGAGTGATTGAACACACCACCGTGGCCACCTGCACCTTACCGTCTGCTACCATCTTCACTGGTGGCTTAAGCTAACCCTACCTGACCTTGCACTGAAGCAAATTAGAAGTTTCCACAGCCTTTCTGACAGCAAAACAGTAGATAGCTGCAGAGAGTCGGGGGCAGACAGCTGGTTGCAGTAACATCTTCATCTTATTGAAACAAGATTTGTTAGTACTTGTGTATTACAACCATGAGCTTCTGATATGAGGAACATTGAGATGATCAGGCTACAGATCCACCTAGTCCCGTATTTTGTTTCCAGCAATGGCTATTAGCAGATGCCTGGGGAGGTCTATAGAACTGAGGGAAAGATACTGCGATGCTTGCTAGCATAGTCTCACAGCCCTCGGCAACTTTATCCTGATATAAAACTGGTTGTGTGGGAACTGTGGACATTTTAACTATTCATTGTGAAGTGATACCAAAATTGTTACAGCTGTGTGTATCTTAGACGAAAACAGGAGGGGAGGGCAGGCACGGAGGGAGGTTTTGATCTGCTATGGGGAGAAGGTGTCCCAGGACTTCATGTTGCAAAACTTAGCTTTTAAGAATGTGAAAATTGCGGGAATTGCAGCCACTGAGATGTGGGACTCCACTCTTCCAGCTGAGCTCTTGAGCTCTTCCAGTCCGCATGTGGCCAGTGGAGTAGAGGCTGAGCCCTTCCAAGCGAGTGTCCTCAATATTCGCAGATCATTTTCTTTTAGTTTTGTCTCCACTTGCTCACTGAAACATACTGGCTAAGTTTGTGGGTTTAGACTAAGGTGCCCAAAGAACAAAGCTGAGCCAGCATTAAGCTAAATTCACCTGAGACTTTCTGACCCAATGTGTCTCCCTGCTGCCTGATTGCACTGATTTATCTACATCGGTTCCTGGTTTGTCGTAATCCGCAGGCTTTATATGGAAAAAGCTTAAGATGATCCATTTATTTTACAGAAGCCACAAGACAACTTTTTAGTCACCACTGAGTTGGGCTAAATTTTAACAGCAGAAGTATTTAAGAGAGGAGGGGCAGGCTTTCCATCCTGCTTGCCTTCCCCTGAGCCATTTAGTACATCCTCTGATTAGTTTTTCATTCAAACGAGGCAGTAAGACACTGCATTCATGAGCAGTCCTCTCTGCTTTATCCTGTGAAACATTATTTCAGTCTGATAACATAAATCCTGCTCTAGCTTTCAGTGATACTAATAATTTCAGAGAATTCTAGCAAACGAGTGGGGTGGATCTGCTTTTCGTACCCCTTTCTATAGGGCATACTCTCCTGAGCATTTCCAAATTAAATGAAATCATGATCACTGGATCATAGATGCTGCCCAGCTTCAACCTTATTTATCATGTTCTGCTCATCTCCTAGGATTAGGGACAGAAAAGCTCCCTACTTGGAAAGCTAATCAAAAAAACACTTAAAAATTCTGCTTTCTAGAAAATAGTTCCCCTGTGTAGATTTTGAAAGGTTGTTATCCTAAGCCAAATAAAAATTCATTTAAGTTCTGAATCAGTGACAATATTTTTCATAGCTGGAAATATTCTTTTTTAAATTTATTTATTTTGCTTTGGCTTTCTTAGTTCTTTTAGATTATTGCCTGAGATCTGAGACTTGGGTAGGTTTTTTTTATTTGTTAGATCTGAGAATAAAGCTGTCACTGCCATTAAATTTTTATTGGCCTTGTTCAGTCTTTTCAAAATTTCACAAGTTGGCTGTCACAAAGGGGAGAAGAGACGGCAAGGTTAATGTTACAAACAGATGTTATAATTAAAATTAAAGAGTATGATAATATTCTTCAGCTTTGACTACTGGTCCCATTTCATGCCAGCAGCACAGCGTACTGGGGTACGGCTTCATAGTGCCAGATCTATCTTCTCTCAGCAGAGAAGCTGAACCTTCTTGGCTGCTGGGATGTGTTGCAAAGTGGCCCTGGAAGGGAAGAAGTCAAAGGAAAAGGCACGTGCATAGGTTTCCTCTCTTAAAGCAGCGTGAATTAGAATGCAAATCGCCTTGTCATTTATGGCGGCAGTTTCCCACGGCGTGGTCTTTTCACCCTGCAAAAGAGAATATGGGTAGGTGGCTGGTGGCCTTGCCAGTGGCAGCACAGAGGGAGACAGTCGACCATTAGCACAGAGATCTTAAAATGGGTAAAACCAGCAGGAACTGACTCGCTGTTCATGTCACCTCTGTGCCAGACATAGCATCCAAGCCTTTTGATTACTAAACTCTCCATCCATTAATAAGCAGTAGGTCAGGGGCCACACATCTCTCGCAGTAAGTTCTTCCTCCCTTTTTATGTTTTGAAGAGCCTGTAAGCCATTATTCTGTAGCAGCTGTCCATTGCATAGACAGGAAAGCTGATACTGTATGAGTAATACTCCCGAAGTACACAGGGTAAGAGCTGTTCATGCAAAATGATTACCTTGTGCGTATCCTGGAAGCTTTTGATTGCCCTACTCCATAAAGGAAAATATGGCAATGTTAGAAAGCATGCTGAAATTTTTCAGGCAGGATTAATTTAAATAAATTACATGCCGTGACGCTTCATCCTTGAATTGTTGTTTAAAATTAACATTACCTTGTTGCAATGTAAAATAGTGGGAATGACAGAAGAAGAAATGCTTACCTTTTTTCTGGAAATACACCCTTTCTCCCACGTCCTTGTTCAAACAGCTGCTTCCATTGTTTCATATGAGGGTTTTTTTGCTTTGTACTACTCTTCATCCTTCTGATTTCCCTGGTTTGTGTTTTTGATACAATATCTACATGTTGCAAGAGATCGGGCTGATTTTTTGCTTAGAAATACACACAGGGCCAGGAAGGATGTAGGATGCGAGTCCAACATGTGGTATGGTGCTTTTGTGGCCAGTATCTTAGATAAAGATGGCAATACTAAAGTGAGTAGCTGCTGCATTCATCTTCCCAGCCCTGAGCATGCATGTACTTCTGTCCAAAGAGCAAACCAGCAGGTGTACGCTTAACAGACAAACATGTACATCAGAAGCTAACATTTTTTTTGGGGGGGGGGGGGGGGGGGTGGAGGATTCTAAGGAAACAACTACCAGGATTGTTTTGCAAGAGCTACCGAGCTCTATCTAAGCAAAGGACAGAAAAGAGGCTCCAAATTCCCACAGTAGGATCTAGTCCTGCTTGCCTTGTCTTGCAAGCTGGCTCAAGACAAGTAGAGTTTGGCTGGCAGTCTCTGGGTGCGGTTGTCAAAGGCAAACCTTCTTTCCTGCTTGGAATGACATGTGAGAAGCTGGTGGTTTACATCCATGTTAGGAGGTCAAGGTGTTTATGTCGTACTTCACCTGGAGCTGCTGTTATGCATCCAGTTCCATAAAACAAATTCGGGCAGCTACTGAGAAGAGCGAGTAGGCTCTCCGGGCATCTGCCGTGCTCCCACTCCCTTTCTGGCACTGGCACAAGCATTCATGTGGTGATGTTGTCAGTTTTTAACTAGATCTGATCTCGGTGACCGTATAGACATTTGTGCTGGCACGAGGAACGGAACTGGAACAATTGGTGGAGAGCTGGACCTCATCTATCCGTCTTGTGCCAGATTAAAATGGCCAGGTAACTTTGTTACCAGCAAAGCTGGTTCCGCAAAGTTGGAGACTCGAGTCCTTGTCTTCTGAAAGCAAGGTACTTCCTAGCTTCCATTTGTTTCTTTCTGTGTTACTGCCTTCCTCTGAGTTTCAGCCAGGTGTAAGAAGAGCAGTTAGGCAACCACATCTCTTGAGCAACTTCAGGAGTCGCTGCTGAGATTTCCAGAAAACCTATGACTTGAGTGGACAGCCTGGTTGGCACCAACCTTGGTACTGGTAGAGGGAAGACTTTCCAGCCTACTACCAGCATGCATGTCTGGCTTCCCCCATTTTCACAGCTTGGGTCCCTTCAACCCAAGGGGTCAGTGACAGCTTCATCTCTTGTATGCTGAATAGCCGTGCCGCAGAATCACTTGGCGCAGGTAGCTCATAACATGGCTAGGAGCTGGCCTCAGACTGTCACTCCAGATGTTTTAAGCTGTTATGTCCTGTTGGCTGTTTCCCAGCTGCTCATTTCACCACGCTGTCTCCTCCCTTGCACAGCCAGTCCTTCCATGGCTGTGAGTTTGGTCCAGATTCAAACCAGCCTGCGTAACCTCTTCCCATTTACTGAGCCACCCGTTCCTTCCAAAATTCAAGATTTTCACAGTAAGCTGTACCCAAGCACTTAATTTGTTTCTGCTCAGTGTGCCACCTTCTCACAGAAAGCAGAAAAAGGTACCGGTTCAAGGCACAGAGTCACTTGCAGGTCTGTGCCGTGTACTTGTCAGGGCTCTCCATTTAAACCTTCCATGGGAGGAAAGCTGCTTGATACTAGGGTTTTTCGTTTGTTTCTGTTTTCTTTAGTTCAGTTAATTTTGCAGAACTGAGTAGAGACCATGTAGCTAAAAACTAATCTGACATCCGTGCACGTGGGGGAGAGAGAGAGCAACCTCTTGGTCCAGGGATGGATAGCCAGGTGTTGCTGGAGGAAGGAAGGAAACTGATGTGTATCAGCAGCTGGGTTAGTTCTTCCTGGGATATCCTCATAAAGGCAGCAACTCAACATCCTCACATACATTGCTATGATAAAGACGAGCAGGACAGTTAGTTTAGTTTCAAGTGGGAGCTGAACTGAGCTGCTCAGTGCACCTGTAGCCTTGGTCAGATTTGATCCCTGTGGATATCGTGCAATGAATGGAGGTGTGTAGATGTATATCCACCACACTGACCGTGTACATTGTAACAGCTGGTCCTTCAGGAGCACACCTAGATTGCTTAAGTACTCTGAAAGATCTCATTATGTTTTAAAGGCCTGAAATATCATGCTGAAATGCCACAAGACAAAGGCAATAGGATTTTGAATAGGGCTTATGTAGGTCAGGCACCCATTTCCTGTTACATGCCTATAACTTACCCAGGGTTCACATGCACACTCCAGGGTACTACAGTCTAGCAAGTCACTGCACATCTGCTGAGCCAAATTAACTATCTTTATGCATACCCTTGGCCTGTGGCAAATACGAGATGAACAAATGGGGCTTTTAGACTTCCTTCACCATGGGCTAGGTTAAGTCAAATGATCTTGCATAAGCTGTGGGTTGAAGGCACGTGTGTATCATACACTGTAATTGCCTGTGTGCCTGCGTGGTTACATGCTTTTTTAATTATGCCAAGTGCCTGCCTGCATCTTTGAAGACATTTTGCCCTAGTCAGTCTGTCCCCTGCAAAATGAACTTGCCTGTGGTCACAGGCAGTTTGGATGCAGAAATGGGGGTGTTCACCTTTTCCCCATAGGCATCGGATGATGGCAGCTGTCGGAGGGTGGAGTACCAGCCTGAGAGGCTCATCCTCCAAGGACCACTGAGGACTTTTCTGATGTGCTTTTATCAAACGATTGCAACTCCTTTTATCATCTGGATATCCTGAAACCTTAGAAAGAGCAAGTGTCACTCCATCCCATTCCTGGCACAACTGCTTCTTCATACCCAACTCCCTCTTCTAAGTTTGCATTTTTATTATATGACCTTTTCCTCCAAGCAGTGAGTTTTTAGCTGAGCAATAGCAAATTGCAGCTGAGGAAAGTAGATAGAAAATGCAAAATCACTCTACAGCATGTAGCTTTTTAATCGCATTCCTGTATTCAGTAAAAGTAATGAGATTTCTTGTTTATATTTGTAATCAGCAGAGGCAACTGACTGTGATGAGAAGCCGGACATTTCTCTACTACAAACAGGTAAAATGCATTAAAATTTTTATCAGCTTCTAATGTGTGTGTGTGTGTTTGTTTATGGCACAGAAGCAGTTTTCAGTAATCCTGGCGTGCCATATACAGTCAGATAATTGCACACAGGGCCCAGCTATCTTAAGTTTTGAATGGCCTGTATTAAAAACCAAATGCATCAGAATCTTACAATTTCCCCTTCTATTTCATATTCAAAAAACCTCAAGGTTCATGGTAGCAGCTAAGCTAATAAGGCCACTAAGTTACCCTTCTTATGCTAGATAGGGACTTGCACTCATCCCTGCTATTTCTAGGAGTTTTTTTGAATTCTTAACAGAGTTATTGGTAGGGACAAACACAATAATTTGTATTGTAGCATCTGTTCGGTTGTCCAACATATTAGCAGTAATATCTTAGGTTCACAGAAGGATTGCAAAGATATTTATATGCTAGTTAAGTGCTGGTTTACTTTTTCTTGAAGTGCAGCCACCCTGCCTTAAAAGCCCAACAGCTGCTAAACAGCAACTTAGCTATGCAGCTGTGTGGACTAGGAAGTAAGATTTTTGCACGCTGTTGCACATGGTGTTGAAATCAAGACAGGCTGGGACTGAAATTTGAAGTACCCTCTCGTTAAGAGTCAGTCCATCGATAGATGCCCTGATGGTAGGAGCTGAGCTGCCATCCTCTGAAAATCCAGTGGGGACGGAGACTGAGGAGATAGTCATTCCCTGCATTAGAGTCATTTCCCTGTAATTTCACCAAGATGCTGCCTGTTATCCCCAAAGCCAAATTAAAAGGAGGGAAGGCCTTGAGCAGACAAATAGGGTCATGGATTATGGTGCGTTTTTATTTATGCCTAAGGTGTAACAACAAAGGGTGACTGGAGATCAGCAATGCTACTGCTGTGAAGAACAGGACAGGGCTGCTCCTGGGTTGCTGAGCGCATGGCGTGGTACCTCGAGGCTATGGGGTGGACAGGAGAGTACTAATACCATCGCAGCATCTGTCTCTTGGGCAAGGGCTTCCTTATCTGTCTTGCGTAAGGGCTGGAGAAGGAGCTTTCACACACACGCTGCTGTGTGCCGGAGCAGCAGCTGCCAGCCGTGGAGCGCTGTCGGTTGAAATCCCGCTGTCGGAGCACGTGCAGTTACTAAGGAATAGGACCAGCGAAGCAGTTGGGAGGACAAGCAGCTATAGTCTTGTTCTGGCAGGGACCCAGTGGGGGCTGGGAGCACACGCTGACTGTGAGCTGCCGCGCTGCTTTCTTGGCCAGCCGCTGAGTATTTCAGGGTACGGTTGTGATAATAGATGCAGGAAGCTCTGGTTTGAAAGGTCTCTTCCAAGTGACATCCTGTTCATTTCTTTTATCAGGGAGGGAAGCAATTCCGTTGCAAGAGGACCCTCATAAAGGTTGCTAATGCAACGTAGTGTTATCTTTTCATTGCTCCGGTAATCATATTAAGGAGCAGAATTACCGGATTGCTGTGCTTTTCTTTGAGCGCAGTTTCTGTAGTTACTACTTGTGTCGTACGTCATTGATGGAAGTGAGTGTGCTGAGATGGTTGTGGTAGAGAATAAGACTCCCTTTCCACTCCACAGCAGATCACCATTGCAGTCTGCTTGCTCCTACACCTTCAAGCATCCATGCATGCAGTTTTTGAGCTGAAATGTTTCCTTTGTGATGTATACCTCTCCGTACTATCTGTGGAAGGACGCCTAAATAAACCATGCTGCAGTTTGCATCGGTGGGGGAGGTGATGCTCACAGGCTGTAAGCCAAGTGTTTGACTCACACCCATTATTATATGTGTGTGAGTGCCTCTTTATAGTACGTATCCATGTAATATCATACTGTTCTTGGAAGCAAATGATTTAAAGTGATATGCAGACAGTATAATGACAGTAATTATGATAGAGAGCCAAAATACAGATGCTTTCTATCAAGGAGTGTAGCAAAAGAGGTGGAATATAACTTTTACAGAGGTCTTTACCTGTCTTCGTACAGCTGGTTTTATAAAGGGGTGTTACTGACAGGTTCTTTAAAGAGAGCCTTCGTGCGATTTATTCAACTGTCTTCCCTGTTTAGCTTGAAAAATCTTTGGGGAATTGTCTCTCTGACTGTGTGTTTGTACAGTGCCTGGCACAATGGGCCTTGGTTGCAGATGATGGCTAATATCAGATAAATCACAGCCTCAGGTTGTACCAGGGGAGGTTTAGATTGGATATTAGGAAAAATTTCTTCGTGGAAAGGGTTGTCAAGCTTTGGAACAGGCTGCCCAGGGAAGAGGTTGAGTCACTGGCCCTGGAGGTATTTAAAAGACGTGTAGCTGTGGTGCTTAGGGACATGGTTTAGTGGTGGACTTGGCAGCGTTAGGTTTACGGTTGGAGTTGATGATCTTAAAGGTCTTTTCTGACCTAAAGGTTTCTGTGATTCTGTGATGAGAGGTTAACCTGGTAGAATAAAATGAGACCACATTAGATTGCTTGAGGCGGGTCTTGCAGGAGACTGGATGGGGAGAAAAGCTGGGGTACAGAAGCCATTTATGAAAGATGGTTGATTCAAGAATTGAACTAACTTGTGAATCAAAAGCACCCAGAGTGAATGATTTGAGTCAACAGTAAGCGTTGGTGCAAAAAAAAGGGAAAACTCAGATGCCTTTAATCTGCCTTTTCTGCTCAGTCCTGCCTGTGATGCCAGCAATGTTATGAACAAGATCTGGGTATGTATCGATGCTGAAATGCCTCAACCTACACGTTGTTGGATCGCAGGCTATGGCTGACACTTCATTTGAGACACCTCAGTCAGAAGTGTGGATGCTCTCAGGTCTCTTCATTGATGGTGGGAAGAGGGCTGCTTCCAGAGAGGTCGGATCAGCTAAGGTCGTGTTTGGAGATGTCTCTCCTTCGGTGCCAGCAGGACTGGGCCCTGTGCAGTTAATTGGTATAGGTGCCTACAGCCGGGTTTGAACCTGCTCCCTCTGTGTCCACAATTAGCAAAGTCATGGACTTTGAGGAGAGCAGGGGGTGTTTTGTTTTGAAAACCCTCCTTTGAAGCTCAAAAGCCTTGTAAAAAAATGGAACTGGTACATCCTCATAAAACTAAGGAAGACATTTTTGCTCAATTACATTTTAGCACTTCTGAGCAGAAATTGTGCTCCCGTTTTAAAATCACCCTCAATGCTAAGAGGGCCTTTGCTTTAAAAACTGTTGATTGAAGGGTGTTTAAAGTAAATTGGAAGAACTGTGGCAGTTAAACTTGCTGGGAACTTTGGTGCATTGACAGATACATCTCAAGAAAACACTAGAAGAATTGTCTCTAACAAATGTTATCAAAGCTCAGGTCTTCCACAGTTCCAGCGTTTGCACCTACCAAAAGCTGAAGGCTGTGTTCAGACCTGAGCTGAGACAGATCAGACAGCTCCATGGGTAATTACCATGGACTAAGTGGAAAAACTGATTAGTTTCTCCATGATAAAGGAACCCAGAAGGTGTGAGATAGATCTGTATCAGGATGAAGGTGTGGCAGCTTTTAGTCTTTCTATATAAGTTGGTATTGTGAAAAGGCTCATCTTATTTTGGTCTAAAATTTACACAAAGCATCTGGATTCTCTGTTTTAAAAAAAAAAATAAAAGGAAGGCATACCCCTTAAGTTCTGTATGTGGAAACAAATGTAAGCCAGCTGCAACACCCTTTTCTTGAATCCTCATCTTGAAAATTGCATTTGAAAGATATATGCAGCCCAGGACCATGAGAGAGCCCTCCTTATACCTGCGCTTTGGGCCACAGCTGTGCTGAGAGTTTGTATAGTTTCTCCACACTGGGGTTAATTTCAAGATGAGAAAGAATTTTGATATCCCTAAAAGAAGCCGAAACACTAACATCCCGGTCCTCAGGTCCAGGGGTGATACAGCTTTGTGAAAAGATGAGAGCAATCTCTTGGTAAAGAAACCGATGATAAGAAAACAGCAACGATCCAATTCTATATAGGCTGTCTCCTTTTCTCTTGAAATACAATATCAAGAAAACGAAACTTAAAAAAAAAAAACCTTTTCGAAACCTTAAATATAAATCCTTTATTGTAATATAAATCTTTATCCTTTCAGTGCATGATTGTATGAGTCTTCCCTTTTCATTGGGTTATATTTGCCTCTCAGGCTGATTGATGTCTGTCTCCTATTTGCCCTGTGTTCTTAGCGCTCTCGTCGTAATTCTTCTGTCCATCTTTCATTGTTCTGTTTAGAAAAAGCACATTCTTAAAGTGCTTTAAAAAAGATGGAATATAATCATACCGGGCACCTTTTTTTATACATATATATATTCTCCTACATGCATTTAGACTGCTGTGGAGTTGTGGGGTTTTTTTTCCCCAAAGAAGATCCCAAAGTACATACTCTAGGTTTAAAATTCATGCGGTGCTTTTTTATTTCTTCAGAACTGTAACTTCAAAGGGGTGAGTATCGCAGTGCAGTTTGTGCCGAAGTCTAATGCAGTGCTTTACATCTGAAGCGGGGTGCACTATATGTTGTGTGAAAAACTTTGCTGACAAATTCTGCATTCAGAAGAATTTATTTAATTTGCTTTTCTTTAGCCAGTTGAGCTTTAGTCTAAATGGAATTCAGCAGCCACTGTCTGCATATATACCAGCAGTTCAGCCCCATCCTAAATTAAAGTCAGAACTCAAATATGTAATTTCCATCATTTTAATTTTATTTTTTCTTAATTTCTTAAATTTTATATTTTTAACTGATTTCGTCAAACTCTTTCTTCCTTCAGGTAACCTTTTCGACACCACAACAGATCATCTGATAGACGCAAACCCAGATTTTTCAGCTTGAATTTCACATCCTGCATCAGTCGTCTTAGCGGATAGAAACATCCTCTTCTTTGAATAATGTTCCCGCAAGATCGGCGCAAGAACTTCAGCATACTGGCAAGACGTGGACATCCGTACCATTTTCTCTTCAAGTTTGTGTTGTTTCATGCATTTCCCATGTAACCTCAAATAACGAAACCGCCAGATTGCTTCATGATGATTTCTCTCCATATCCAATGCATTATTTAATTAGCGGGGTACCCACTCTGAAGACATTCTCTTGCCTTTGTTTGTCCTCCACGATTGTATTTTTCCACGATCGTATGCTTGCCAGCAGTGTTTCATCTTAAGCCACGCAGAGGTGAATACACACAGTCGGGTGACTCTTCCCGTCCTCGGGGACCAGGCTGGCATCTCTCTCCATCACGAACCCCAGGGGCTCGATGAGCATTTGACTCGGCAAAGCTCTTTGCTTCTGCAGACCCACTTTTCCATTCCTGGCTGCTGTGGTACCAATGACCAGTCGTACGCAGCTGTGATTAAAAAGTCCTCGCTGGCTTTAGCAGGAAATAAAGCAGGATTCTTCCCAGCAGGGCCCTGTTTCCTAATTATAGCAAGGAGAAGCTATTCCTCAAACAGTTTCCCCTGCGTGGTCCTAGTGGGATGGCTCTCGAGCATCTTTGTAGTGCACATCACTGGAGATGGTCATTCTCCCCTCACTTTCCCCCCCAGCTTGCCCTACCACCTCCATCTCAAAATGTGTTAGTTTGCCGATTTCCAGGAAGAGGGTCTGCACACTGTGATTTTTCCACCACTGCCCTTGGCGACAATATTCACCTATTTTTTTAAAAAAAAAAGGTCACCTTTTGACTGGCACTCTATTGATATCTCAGCAGTTAATCTGAGTGAATCGATCAAGAAATTGCACTACCCTCTTAGACACTGAAAGGGACGGTCCTTTCAGGTCAGGGCTAAGGTAGAATCGTACGCGGCCCTCCATGCAAACCTTCACTTCTGCACCTTTCATCAGCACTAAATTCACTTTAAAAATGTCAGGAAAAAGTCTAGAAGGTCTTACCTGCAACATCTATCGATCACCAAGCAGCTTGAGCGTGTTTCCTGCAATTGGAGGGAGAGCTTGCTAGAGCCTTTACCATTGTGTTTCCTTTCCCTGTGTATATGTTAGGTGCATCTTTTTTTCTTTAGAAACTATTTGGCCTTTGAGTGTCTCAACAGAAGTGCTATTACAGAGTGGGATGGTTTTCAAAATACTTAATCTTTTTTTTTTAACAATCCTAAAGCCTGTTTTCTCAGATGTTGCCGAATGCCCACAAATAAGGCCAAAGCCAACGGGGAGCAGTTTGTTCTCTCAGCACCTGAGAAGCGAGGCTCCCAGCCCTTCCCCACCCACCTACCGTGGACTTTTAGGAATGACCGTGTTCTCTCTGAAACTGTGGAATAGATTGAATGTGCACTGCAAACCTTAAAATTTGAGTCTTTCCTTCCTTCATGGCTTGGAGTTGCCTGCACTGGGCAGGGGGCACCGGTCCGTCATGTCCGTGTCGTAAACCTTCAGCAACGGAATCAGCGTTTTGTAAATTTGGAAGATTGCATTTGTGTTTACTTACTGTGACTACTGTTCAGACTTTCTTCAGAAATCTTTTTATAGGGTTTATTAGAGAGAAGAAAAAAAAAAATCATTCCATATTTAGGTAAAAATGTCTCAATCTTCTGTATATATGTTTTATTAATATGTAAATATTTAGATATTTTTAAATTACTATGTTCTTAATAAAGCAACAAGGGACTAGTTGTGAAATGGTGTATAACATTGTGTTGTGTTCTCGATCTCTGGGAAACCCTCTTTGTCAGTCCAGAAAAGAAAACCTACAATAAATAACTTTAATTGCATGTGCGTTCCTGTGTTCTGTGCTGGATTCCCATATTTCAGAGGAATTACCTAGAAAACAGTGGGCTACATAGGGAAATGTATAGGAAAACCCTAAGAGTTACCACAACAATACTATTTTTTCAGCCGGCTCAGATGGAAACTGTGCTGCCTGCCAATCACAACAACGTCTATATCCAGTCGCATAACAACTCTTGAGTATTAAGTACTGATATGCTTGAAGTCTAATTTTAATTGAATTAGGTGCCTTTATAATCTGCACTTAAAAGGTTAAGCTCTGCTTCTATGGAAACAACACATAGGAAGGACAAACCAATACTCATAATTTGGAGTAGCTGCAAAGATATATGCTTGGCAATTTATTATCACACCCTCATCAAATGTTGTTTAGCCTTAGAAAATATTTCCTGTGCAAACATGTTCCTGGTAATCTTCCATCAATTACAAGGAGCCAGTGAAGTGAAAGAGCAGCTCGCCACACCTTTTCTGCTTTATATAAGGAGTGCTAGGGATAAATTGCCGGTAAACAGTCTAGCGAGAGTTTCCTTTACACTTCGGTGGCTGCATGGATTGGCTGAAGCCTGGTGCATGACTTGCATCCGTGTGACAAGGTGTGAGCCAGCGCGCTCCCTCTCCATTGGGGAGTGTTGCAAGAGCAACTAAATCCTAGATCACAGAAGGGTTTGGGTTGGAAGGGACCTGAACGCTCATCCGGCCCAACCCCCTGCCATGGGCAGGGACACCTTCCACCAGACCAGGCTGCTCAGGGCCCCGTCCAACCTGGCCTTGAACACTTCCAGGGATGGGGCATCCACAGCTCCTCTGGGCAGCCTGTGCCAGTGCCTCGCCACCCTCACCGGAAAGAATTTCTTCCCTATGTCCAGTCTAAACTACTACCCTCTTTCAGTTTAAAGCCCTTGCCCCTTGTCCTGTCACTGCAGGCCCTACTAAAAAGCTTGTCCCCATCTTTCTTACAAACCCCCTTTAAGTACTGGAAGGCCGCAATAAGGTCTCCTCGCAGCCTTCTCTTCTCCAGGCTGAACAACCCCAACTCTCTCAGCCTGGCCTCATAGGAGAGGTGCTCCAGCCCTCGGATCATTTTTGTGGCCTCCTCTGGACCCGCTCCAGCAGGTCCATGTCCTTCCTGTGCTGAGGGCCCCAGAGCTGGACGCAGTGCTCCAGGTGAGGTCTCACCAGAGCAGAGCAGAGGGGCAGAATCCCCTCCCTCGACCTGCTGGCCACGCTTCTTTTGATGCAGCCCAGGATTTGGTTGGCTTTCTGGGCTGCAAGCGCACATTGCCGGCTCATGTCCAGCTTTTCACCCACCAGTACCCCCAAGTCCTTCTCTGCAGGGCTGCTCTCAATCCCTTCATCCCCCAGCCTGTACTGATATCGGGGGTTGCCCCGTCCCAGGTGCAGGACCCTGCGCTTGGCCTTGTTGAACCTCATGAGGTTCACACAGGCCCACTCCTCAAGCCTGTCAATGTCAACACTGATTTGGTTCGCCTGCACCCTCCATGTGCCCACAAACTGGCTTCAGATCTGAATGCAAATCATCATTCACACAATTAGCGATGCTCCAGCTTGATGGACCAAATCCATCAACAAGTATGTTCACTAACCTCCTCTGCACTGCAAGTCATCCCCATGTGGCTTTATTTGGCTTGATTTTTTTGAACAGGGAGCAGGTTAATATGCCGCTATTTGTAACGTTAAGTCGCATGCCCATCTTTAAGACGTGATTAGGAGCAAGAAATGTTGCTATGCGCCGGGATCTGCAAGGCACTAAATCTCAGCTGTGCTGCAAAGCCACCAGCAAGTACTGCTGCAAGGTTGCAGTTTCACCTGTTGAAACGGCTTTGGGACGGAGCAAGTGCTATTGCCAGCACCTGCGCGTAGGCTCCAGCCAAGCTCCAGCATCCTTCCTGGGCCATTTGGCCAGTGCGTCCCTCTGTCCTGTGTACAGGACACTAGAGATTAATACTTTGGGTGAAAAAAAATCCTTCTGAAGCTTAGGAGGAAAAAGGATATCCTCCTGGTAACACAAAAGGAAACTGGAGCCTGGGCTTTATAAAAAATGCATTAATTGTGAGACAAGAAGAAAGTAATCTCAAGCACCTGTGACCTGTTGGTTTAGAAATGGCTGGCTGAGCCTTTTGGGGAAAACACACGCCGTCACGTAGGGGTGGTTTGGGGATGGGTGGTCCTGATGTGGCCACCCCTCCTGGAGAGAAACCTTCTCCCCAAAAACCTACCCTCTGCTGAGGTCATGATGCCTCGCTGGGAGGCATATCTCTCCTTCACCGGGCAAGGGAGGGGGCACAGTTCTAGCAAAAACCCATGGGGCCACGTCCTCCTAGAGAGACAGATGTATCCAGGATTTTGCAAGACTTTTCAAAAATAACCCCCTTGTGCATGTCCTCCCCAAATCTAAAGTAGCAAAATGCCTTGTAGGAGGTGCTGAGACATCCCTTCTCCCGCCACTGGCTCTCCCACAGCTGGGCTGGGGCGAGCACCTTCTTCACCCCTTCCCACCACACTGTCATCGCGGAGAGGCACAAGAGAGGTTTGTACAAGTAGGTCAGGTATGATTTCTCATCTACCGAATGCTAATAAAAGCCACCAATGTGAAACTATAACGTTATGTGTATAAATAATTTAGCTCCTATGTGTAAACATTGATTCTGGGCTTTAAAAGAAATGAAATAATTCCATCAGCTTCTTCCCCTCCCCTCCATGTGTATGTTGTTATGTGTGACTGCTAACAGGGGCAGAAAGTAGCTAATACTTGGGGAGTTTGGAAATCGGGGAGGCACACCCCTTGTGTTTCTGCGCTGGCTCCTTCCTCCACCCAGATCCTCAGAAGTACAGAGGAATCAGGATGAGAGAGGCAGCTAATTAGGAATGAAGATGTAATTCTGGCTTGTAATTACAAGTAATCACTGACCAGAGGGATGATGGTGAGAGGAGAAGAGGCTGCATTTCACGACCCATGTTCTCCTCTTCGCTCCTCTTGCTCCCTCAGGCGGATGCAGGCACCAGGTTCGCCCCATGAAGCATCCATCCAACCTTTCTGGCAGCTGCCTTCAGATGAGCTGTTTTGCTTCAAAGTTGCTCTCAGGAGGAGTCCTCACAGGATGTCCAAGCCTGCCTAGAGCTGACCTTGTGGCCCTCCAGCCCTGGAAGACCCCACTGCAGCGGAGCAAGGAAGGTAACTGCCAAATAGCAATAGCATCCCTCGGAGAGCAAATTCAGCCATCGAGAGTGGCTGCAAGGGGCAAGCAAGGCCCCATGGATGGGAGCGTTGGGCCAAGGCCAAGAAGGAGCTGCTTTGGCTCACCCTTGCCCTGTGAGACCCTTTGGAGGGACCTTTCTCAAGGATTACAAACTGGTGTGGTGGGTAGCACGCCATTAGCTGGACCCTGGGCCCAAAAGTTGCCAAACTGGTCCAT